CCGGAGCCGCCTGCCCGCCCCCAGCCCGCCCTCTCCAGCAAAAGGGTTCAAATCGGAGGAGCGAAAACGCAAGCAAAGATCCCTCGTCGGTGACTTCGGGCGCGCCTCTGTGCGTGTACACTGAAGTGGGAGCACACGTACGCACACGGGGGGACAGGGGATTTGAATTGGAGTCTAATGACACGTACCCACGCACAGCCCTCTTTGCCAGTCACTCAGGTAGGGTTCAAAATGCTGGTTTATTTGGAGATCGCGTCTCCTCTCCTCGGTCTCCGCCGCCCGGTTTCAGGCGACCAGAGCGGGAGGTCGTGGGCCTGCTTATAACCTCGCTCCTAAGTTCCTGCTCCTCGCACGTACCCTTCCACCACTGGGGACAACCCAGTTTCGCACCACAACAGGCGACTCACAAAGGACGGATGGTCGGCGGCGAGGGAGAAGCTCACTCCCCCTCCCCCGGGCTTCCCTGGAACGCCACCCAGAAAGAAAACCGTAATGGGCGCAACGTAAACAAACAGCAAAACAAAGTGACGGGCCTGGCTGTGGGGGAGGGGGAGGTAACATCTGCGAAGTACTGGGCGCGTTCAGTCTCCGCACATCCGGAGAGAAGAGACCCCCGCCGGTCCTCCCAGTCTATTTTCTGGACGGTTGAGAGGACGGCTGAATGGCTCCGACCGCGTTTGGGAACCCCACACCGCCAGACAAAGGAAGCTCGGCTGCCGCTGCTGACGAGAGCCGGCGCGGAAGAGGGATTGCAGCCCATCGAAGCTATCCGGAGGCTGGGAGAGGATTCGCAACGCGACCCTACCCTCGACTGGATGTAAACTGCCTTGAGCCATTCGAAGATTTGGGGTGGGGGTGGGGACGGGGGTGGATTGTACCCTCCGGAGAGAGACAGAGTATATCCAATTTAGCAAAGTGGAAGATGAGTGGCAAAATAAAATAATGAAAATAACAACGCCCGTGTTGAACCTTCAAATCCTTTTTAAGAAGGATATCAGGATATTTTTAATTCTTTTCTCATCCGGCAGTGATCTGCTTTTAAAAATAGATCGCCTTGTCATTTCCAGTATATTGCGTTTGCTGCTGCTGCTGCTGCTGCTGTTACTACTATTCGGTCACTTATTTTTCTCTTCCACCGTTACATGTCTTTTACATTATATTCAGTCTCGACCAGTCAACCCAAACATTTACAACTGTCATCCTTTACTGGTGTGACGTTATATACCTTCTCTCACGGATACAACTGAAAAATAGTTTTACAGCAGTATTTCGCTTTCTTTGTTTCTTTCCCTGCCCCAGAATTTGGAATAAACTTCAACAATGTAAACAAAACATGGAATTGGAAAAATCAACTTGGAAAAAAGATGGAAGGATTCCCCCCCCCCCACACACACATTATTTCATGCAATTGCTACCTAATTGAATGCAGTGTTAAAACTATCTAAGCCTCCTTGATCAATAACCAGCAAAAAAGCTCGCACCCTATAGTAGCATAATAAAGTTCTGACGTCCACTTGCCCGCAATACCACCCAAATATTTATTTACACACTCATAAACACGCTTCAGTCAAGCTATCTGGACTAAAACAACCAGCGTGTGTGTGGGGAGGAAAACAACTTTGAAAACTATTTAAAATGCTTTCCCTTTTATTTTATTTATTTTATTATTATTTTGTTTTATTTATCTGTGCACGCCTCTCTTCTCCTCTCTGCTCCCTCTCTTTTTTGTTTTTGGTGGCATTAATGAGAACAAAAGAGGAGCGGCGGCCCGTTTTTCTTCCAGGAGCGGTATATCCGGGAAGGGGGCAGTCTCCCCTGTCTACTCAGAAGTAAGCGGCCAGGGGCTCCAGGACCTTGCTCTGAGACGCCCCACCGCCGCGCGGAAAACTGGCCTGGCAGGGAGAGCACGGGAAAAGTCCCAGCCTCCGAGGGCCCGGCCCAAATAAATCAAGGCAGGCGTTTTCCCGCTGCCCGCAGCTGGGGCCCTTGGAGGTGGGCTGTTGTTTGGCTGTTTTTTTCGCGAAGGCCGTTTGCCAACCCGCGACAAAAGAGAGAAATGTGCCTCAGTCACTGGCGAGGAAAATCCAAATGAAATGAAAACAAGGGCCCGTTCCCTCGCACCTCGCAGACCGCGCCGGGGAGCAGGAGGCTTCCCTCAAGCCCTTGGCTTTGACGACTCTGGGTCCCTAGTTAAAACTGGAGGCGAGAACTGCGGACCAGCGGGCAGGCAAGAAGGCGCGCGCGCTCACACACACATCCAGGAGATGCGAATCGGGGAGAAAGAGCGTCCTGCTGGACTGAAAGCAAGGGAAGAGCAGTCTCAAGGAAGACCACCGAACTTTGGAAGCGGTTCCGAGCGGAACCCCTTCAGGCCTAGAACTGAACCTGGCCTTGGACTGCCAGCCCCGTCGCTGTCTGGCGGCTGGCGGGAAAGAGGAGGCGAACCAACAAGGTCTGCCCGGTCAGGATGCCCAGAGAGCCGTCAAAGGACGCGCTTCAGGCCTGATTGCGCCGCGCCGGTTTCAGAGTTGAAGTAGCAACCGGCCTTCTCCCCCAGGAGGTCGGGGGACGCTGGGCTTCCTTCTGCGGCCTCCCCCGAGCCTCGCCAGTTTCTTAAGAGGGAAAGGGCGGCCGCCTCCAAAGGGAGGCTCTCCCAAGGGACCTTCTCCGGCCAGAAACAATGGGGGGAGGGGTGCAAGGGGTGTGCGCGCGCGTGTCGGGGTGCGCGTTCGCCTTCCTCCCCCAGCGAGCTCGGGCCGCCCCACTGACCTGTTCTTGGCGGCCGCCGCCCGGTCTCTCTGCCGCCGGTTCTTGAACCAGTTGCCGACCTGCGTGGGCGTCAGGCCGGTGGCCTGGGCCAGTTCCCTTTTCTTGCTGGGGTTGGGGTAGGGGTCCTGGAGGTACCATTCCCGCAGGAGGCTGCGAGTCCGTTCCTTGAAGCAGTGGGTCTTCTGCTCGCCGTCCCAGATGGTTCGCGGCAGGGGAAACTTCTTGCGGACGCGGTACTTGTCGACCGGCCCCAAGGGGCGTCCGCGCAGCTTCTCGGCTTCCTGGTAGTGAGCCTCCAACCACATGGCCTGCAGCTTGCCGTGCGACTCCTTGGTGAACTTGTGGTTCTCCAGGATGTGGTAAAGGTCTCGGAAGTTGCCCGTGTGGAAGGCCACCACCGCCCGGGCCCGCAGGATGGACTCGTGCTTGTTGATGGCTTCACATGCTCCGGGCGCTACCGGCAAGGACCACAAGAACCGGCCCAGCCTCTCGATGTCCCCCGTCTCCTCCAGCGTCTCGCAGACACTGGCCACTTGCTCCGGGGAGAAGTTGAGCGTGGGCAGCTGGAACATGGACGGCTCTTCCGGGGCTCCCCGCGAGGCGCCTCCTCCTCCTCCCCCCCCGCCGCCGTCGCCTCCCGCCGCTCCGGCGGTGTACCCACAGGGGGGCCCCCCGCCGCCCACGCCCGCGCGCC